TAAATAACATGAAATTAAGTCATGGCTTTTCAGGCACTGTATCAGGCAATCATATGAAGGGAGGAAGTAAGGGAGGAAGTATGTTATATTATTTCCCTAGTGGACAGAACTGCAAAGAGAACTTGGAACAATAACTAGCTCGAAATTGCATTTTCCATTTGTCTCCGATCAGTGAGCCAGTTCTGATGTCCATTGTGTGCAGAGACTCTGTTGTGGGTTTTAAAATGAACATTTATTATTATTTTTTTTTTGTAACCAAGAAAACTGACCTGCAAAATTAGAAACCACCCTAATAAATAAATTGAAGGTTTTGAAAACACCAACTTCTCGGGCCCTCTGTAACCATCTATAGTACTAAATGGAAAGGCTGGATTGATTAAGCCTTGCTTTTTTGTTCAGACTACCAGAGGCAAGGGTTTCAAAATCAGAATAGCACATACTGATTTCTGTCATTTTATCTGCATGAAACATGTATCTGAGTGCCTTTGGTAGAAAATCTCTACCATCTTCATTGGGAATCAAATTTTCAGAGTCAAAGTGAATGTTCTTCTGAGTCTGTCAAGCTCAGAACCTGTAACTCAGTGAAAAAGATTAATGTTTAATATGTTCCTGGAGATCTATAATTTAGGGGTGGAAAAGAAAGCCAAACTAAAGCAAAAAGTGTGCAGATGCCTAAGTACAGGATGCCTCATTGTTTAAATTTGGAGTTTGCTATCTCAAGACTCCTGAGAATCTATGCTGAAATATTTGTTTGAAAGCATTGTGATTTATTTTTCTGCTCAGGTGCAGAAGCTTATAGTAAAAAATTTGGAAACACGGTGGAGAAAGTAAGGATTTTGAGTGATATTTCCTAAGAAAGTGAGTTAGTAGAGGCCCAGCAAACAAAAATAATAAAATTGTGAATCAACCCGGACTTAATTTTCCTTGAAGCCCTCAAATGTTTCCTTCTTTCTTTTGTGGATTTTCCTCTGTGCTATAACTTTGTTTCTTTAGTAAAGAAAAGAAAGTGATTTTTCCAGAAGGGAAGATGAAGCTCTGGTGGGATTTAGCCTTTCCACTGGCACCATTATGAAGATACCAACTTGGAAAAACTGTAAGCCAGGATGCTGGACAGTGTCTTAGTAGGAAACAACCAGAACAGTGCTTTGTGCAAGGAAGTGTTCATCAATACCATTTCTAAGAGCAAACTCAGCCAAACACCGACTGAGTACATGTTTTTTATTGCTGCTATTTATGTTTTCACCCAAGATTGTTTTGCTTTGTTGTCAGTGACATCTCATCATAAGTTGAAAATAATGTAATTTATTTTCTTAAACTGTAGAGATAGATATAAATTTGACTTCAAAGGTAAATGAAGTGGCTTTATTCCATTTCTACATTGTCTGTAACTGTAATGTCTAATTCTGAACGGTATGAGGACTTGCTAGAGCAGCAATTACCATGCCTAACAAATCTGCCACTAGAGGGCACGAAATGATTTTAAAAACAAGTTATCCGTCTGAAAGATTAAAGATTTTAAACTAGCAAAGCAGTGAAGTAAATACAATGAATGTGACAAATAATTCTAGTTTCCTTTTCATTTTCAGCTTTAAAAAGATCAAATAATATTAGCCTTTAAATGTTCTGTAAAATACTTGAAAATATATATCTATTTTCAGGCATCAGGAATGGAGATACTTTATATTGTGCTATGGAATTTTTAGGGAAAGATTCAGTGAATTTTAGGAGAAATCAATTTATTTGTTTGTTTGTTTGTTTGTTTGTTTGTTTATTATTTTTTATTTATTTTTCCCAATCAGGAACATAAATTCATCAGAAGTTGCATAACGTTTTTGAAACTAGGTTGCGTAACATGAGAGATAACTGAGCAGAAAGACAGAGGTTCTTGTTTGACCTTTGCAATACATGTTAGTTACCTCAGCCCATCTGCTTAATAGGTGGCTGGTACTCAGAAATTCTCAACCCTGCATTTAATATTGCTGGGAACGCACGTCTGTCTCTGTTCCCTGTCTGAAGAGATATCATTTCACAGCTATGCAAGGATGGCCATTAAGACAAATCTGGTGTGTATGCCGTCCTTCCATGCTGTGTAATGGGGGCATGCACTAGACAGATATTCAGGTGGTGCTGAGAGTCTTTCATGGTCACAGAGAAGCAGGCACAGGTCAACTGCCAGTCCTTGTCATACACACAGTCTGAATTTACCTCCAGAACTTAGACTGAGATACATTAGCAAAAGCAAACATATGAGCCAGATGTGCTTTAGCCCAAGCTGCACGAGTCTTTGAGGAGTAATATCAGTCCTAATGGATTGCAATCTAATACCAGTCATGGCAATCCCGAGCATAAACACAGGCTGGGCGGAAAATGGATTGAAAGCACTTGAACAATTTATGGAGGGTTGTGATGGGTTTTCCATGAACTGAAGTCTTTAAGTACATGTTCTTTCTCAAACGTATTACAGGCTTCAGAAGGAAATTAGCAGGTGGGATGACATGGTGTCTTTTGTCCAGGGGATCACAGTGGAGATCATCACTGATCTTCTAACCTTTAGACCTATGAATCTGGAAACCTTGAGTGTTTCCATGCTGTAACCATTTCAGGCTGAAGTTTCCAGAATGTCTCAGCTAATGCCTTTTGAAAACAAGATTAGGTAAAAAATCCTTTTTTTTTTTTTTTTTCTTTCTTCTTTCTCTCCACAGATTCATGTGTGTGTATATAAAAACTCTGTTTGTATTCACATACACAGAAGGAAACTGGTGTAAATGGTAGAAGGACCAGTGATCAGTGTCAGAAAGTACTATTAGACTGAAATCAAGACACTTCTTAGGTTAAAACTTAAGTTGCTGAGATGGTTTCACTTTGATGTTTTTAAATGAAAATTTCAGTTTTACAGAAAGTAGGTGTTTTTGAGATAGCTAATAAAAGTTTAAAACAACTATTCATCTCTGATCCTGAATATCTAAAATTACTGAAATCATGTGTCTTATCAAACGAAACAGATTTCCTCCATCTTTGGATTTTTGGCTACATGTTTTACTTATTCAGAAGAGATATCTCTGTGGGTTTGGAGAAATTGTTCCCCTCCTACCTTTCCCATTTACCAGGTTACAGCAAGCACTGATAAATTACAAGCATGTACCAAATTTGCCTCAGTTCCCTTCATGCATCTAGAAATTACAAGCCCTATGCTGTCTGTATACACAGATCTTGAACTGCATTCTGTACATGTCATTTTGAAACAGTTCATTTTTTATTGTTTCCTATGTGTCAAAGGAAGTGACTGGGATTTTTGCTTTAAGCTGAGCTCTGTCTGACTTTTGACCAGCATGGGCAGCCAAGGATGTCTTTAGATGCATTCAGCTAACAGCTAAAAGTTAAATAATCTTAGCTCTTCTGGCCATGCTTAGTGCTTAGGAGGTGTTTCATGATGGTCAGATACAGTTAATGAAAGATAAATAAATAAGTAAATAAATGCAGCTGTATTTATAGAAACCTCAGTCAGAGATTTCAACATTACTCTAACCAGAAGTGGCCCTATCAACAGCAGGGTGTTTGATAAGCTGTGAGCTTCTGCAAGTTCAGTGTACGGTGAAATGGCACACATACATATACAAGTTTTTGATTCTCCTCTTACAGTTTTTCTCTTTCTTTCCTGCTTGTTTCCCTTTTCCCCCTTTTATTAGGCTATACAGCTTGTGCATCTCCTTTCCTGAACATTTGAATTATAAATTGTTTCATGACTCATGTCTGTGTTGAGGATGCCAAGAGCAATTTTTCCACCTGATTATCTGAGAGGTGTTCGTGGAAGTTTCATTTGTTTTGACAGCATCTTCCATTGAAGCATAACCCCCTTTTTTCATTAGCTTTAATCTCCAAATTTTGAAAATATAGTTTCTTGTTAAAGTTATTTTTCCAGCACATATGAACTGTACTGAGTAACTTATTTCTGAAATGCAGATCTCTCCAGTCCCTTTGACTTGATGACCCCATGATGATGTAAAAATTTTTCTTGATCAGACTCTTTTGATCCGGATTAAATCATTCTTCTAAAATGTAATTTAGGGATTAGAATTCAGAAGAATTCCCTCATGGTAAGAAAGTTTCAGAGAAGAAAAAAAAGTGACCACCTAAAATACTTCCTTTTAAGTAAAATCTTTACTACAAGATGTGACATTTTGATTTACAAAGATAACCTCAGTGATCAATGAACTCACTTGAACAAGTAAGGAGCTGAACAGTTTATGTGCTGTGTTCCTTGGACCCTGTACTGGATTTAGTTTACCAAAATGTATTTTTCTTGGCCTTGTAATTTGTAAAATTACATTACATTAAAATTACAAGAAAATGTAAATATTTAGGCAGTAGTTCCCCAACAAATTCTTACAGAGGCTGTGGTTTGCAAACATGGGCTGGATTAACAATCTTCATGTAGGCACCTTTGCTTTAGAATTTCAGACTTGAGTCTCTACTTCCTCTGCTAGTAACAAAAATCTTCATTTAGCCACAATTGTCACAATTATTCTGCTTCTCCAGTAGTTAAAAATGTTCTATAACAAAACAAAACAAAACCAAAACCAAAACCAAACAAACAAACAAAGAACAGACTGTAAAGGTGCATGCAAAACTGTTGGTATTGCATACTGCTGGTTACTGGACCTATTCCACCTATATATAACTTAGCAAAGTAAAATATCATTTACATACTCTAATCTGCTTCTTTTCCTTGTCCCATCCAACCTGAACATTGCTTGTGGCAGATATTTTTGTGCCCACAGGGACACAAATCTGGGGTCATGGCACTATGTCCCAGTCCCAGCCCCTTCACCCTTCTGGAAAAGCACAAAGGGGTTCCTGTATGGTAATGAAGTGGTAATGAAATGGTGTGAATTGAGATGCCCGGGAATCAGAGGTGGCCTGTTGAAGGAAGGATGGTGTGCGACTGAGTAGTCTGAACACAGCTGTAAAGTCTCTTGAAATCACAGCGTTTGTCAATGTAATCTGATTTTCCTTTTATTTTAATTAACATAAATCATAATCACTGCCACGGCAACAGTCACAAAGTGTGGAAACTAGTAAAAAGAAGAAGAAGGCTCTCTTTGGGCTCATTTCTCATTTCTCTCTGTCTGTTTCCCCCCACCTTACATCACAGAAAAGTGATTTTGCAGGGGCAGGATTAAATCACAGCAAAATAAGCTTGCCTTAACCTTTGAGTTTGGCTCCTCTGCTGTTTTTGAGGTTGGAAACCCCGGAAGTGAGCATTTCAGGCACAGAATGGTGGTGGAATGGGGCATATAGTTACAGCCCCTTTGATCACTTCTTCCCACTTTCTATACTACTTTTTTGAAAGTCTGACTTCGTCCCCCTGCGCTAAGTTATTTACTGCTAATATATTTTATTGAGAGATCCTTAAGATCTTAAGAGATTCACCCAAACCACCATGGATTTGTGGATAAAGTGTAAAATGGGAATGCACTCTTTTTATATGGGAGCCATCTAGCCAACTTCCTGCAAAATATTGTTAATTTGCTAAACTTTGTTAATTTTGGTATTTCAGTTCCACATTACACTGAAAAATAAGAAAAATAAATACACCTTTTATGTTTGGGCTGACTGCCTTGCAGAAATGTCCAAGATATATATTGATATATATAGCACAATAAAATGAGGCTCAAAATTCACATTTCTGCTTATGTTTGCTTCAAAAGTCTCCTAATCTGCATTGAGTCCTTACCAGTTTCTTTCTGGTATCAAGCCTTCAGTCTTCATATATGTATCAAGGCAAGGACCATCTTTATGGTGCATTTTTAGGGTGTATTTTGATCATGACATCAGGACTTGGATAATTATGATAGTTACAAAAAAATACATATTTAAAGCACTATTAAAATACATACGGCTTTCACCACTGCAGGTAGATCATGGGTTTCTAGCAATCTTGTAATACAGAGCATTGTCAAACCATGCACTGCAAATCATTTCACTTCATTAATTTTTCATTGTAGCTCTGATGTAATGCTATCACATTTATTTAAGACTTGGACTTACATGTATTTAAATCCAGCATCTGAATTCAAAATCAGTTCCTCCACACAAAAATGCTTCACGTGCTTTTAGTGCTTGCACCACTGCACTGCTGCAGCATTTTTGGAGCACTGAGCTCTAGCTTTCAGGCTAAGAGGAGAGCAAGATCTCCCAGAAAATGAGGACTGGAACACATTTTAAAGGAATTGTTGCCAGTGGACACTGTGAACATCTTCTGATCCCATCTTGCTGTTCAGGAAGCATCACATAAGAGCAGGGAACCCCTTACACTGAACCCTTGTGCTGTGCCACCCGGTCTCACGTGGCACCAGCTGGCTGCTTCCATGCTGTGTTTCCCAAGCTCCTCTGTCTGCAGGAGCCCTGTTTGGACATCTCAATTATCTGCACAAACAGCCACCTGAGCTCCGCGCTGCATCAATACGGTGGTATGAGACAGCTAGATGCCAGATGGCCCTGGAGGCTGCAGAGTGGCACCTGCATCAGTAAGTCTTGCAGGATCAAAGCAGAGCTGAGGGATGGCTGCACGTGTTGACTAGTTTACTGTGAATCAGGACACCAGCTTGAGGCAATGAGGATTTGAACTGTGGAGTGGCTATTTCAGATAGGGCACTCACACTCTAACCCTTATGCCACCCAGCTATGCTAGGAGTTTGTGAACTTTGGAGATTCTCTGGTGGTCTGGTGGTATCCATCCTTACCTGATGGGAGTGTAGAACTGAGTGGGAAAATTAATGGGATGTGCAATTGGAAGGAAATGTAGCTGAAGATTGTATGTGACTTATTCTCTCATTCCTTTTCTTTTAATAACCTAAATTTGTCAGTTAAAGTAATCTTGAAATGCCTTTCTTAGCCCTTTAAAGATGCCCATCTTATGCAAAAGTAAATTCTTTCTCAGAAGAGATTAAGTACTATACCTCAAAACACGAAAATATGTAAGTATATATTCCAAATCAGTTGGAGAGTTTTTCCTGCTCCCCATCCTTGCTGGAGTCCTCCTCTGGTGGACATCCTTGTGTGCCCAGGCCCACTGTGGTGCTACAATTTTCTGTCTCTTCTTTGTGCACAGAGCTCTGCATGCTGCTGCTTCTGTATTAGCTTGCAGGGATGGGGAGTGACATGGTTCATCAGCAGGACAGGGCTTCTCACCAGTGTCAGGGTCAGCTGAAAGCACTGAAACAAGCAGAAGAACACGGGGGAAAATGAAAATGATTCTCTCTTTGCATCAGTCCTGCTTGTGCAAGCAGCTACTTCCCCCTGAAAATATGGTCGTCAGAGTTATTGCCACATGGTTAAAGAGTGTGTGAGAAATACTTGACTTCTTTATAAAAAGTGCATTTTTAAGGGCTGAGAAAGACATTCCAAATATTGATGGGATTTGTGAGGCTACAGCCCACAGTGGAACAGAGAGCCGAGGTCCCCAATGTAGCACCAACTGGAATGAGGGGGGTCCAGACCTGCAGTACTTTGTTTCTCCTGTCTCTCTATCCATAAAAGTATTTTTAATAAGGGAAGATTTTTTTATCTTGCGTACAGCAATGGATGCTCCAGGCTTTCTGTACCTGAAGTGGCAAAGAAGGATGGTACTTCTGGCTCTAGCATGAGCTGGGCCACCTCAGGTATCTCTGATGCAATGCGCAGGTAGATCGAATCCCTTTGACCTAACTCCTGCCTTCAGCCATGAAGATGCTGTCCTCTGGATGATCGGGGCCAGCTGTCGTCTCTGGCAGTCAGCAAGTCTAAGGCCTGCATCTCTTTCAAATGAGAAGGCACACCCAGTATTTTCGAAAATATCCCTACTCCCATTAGAAGCCAACTCTCACAGTGTTAGATAAAAATGTATATTTTGATTTCTAGCTATGAACTGTATAAGGAATGAACGACCTGCCCTTCTTAACAGGAATTTTGCTGCCATGTTTACCCCAGGGGTTTCTTTTCCTCTCTTTCAATATCTATAGCTGTAGCTGAGTGGTTACTCAGTGAATGATGAGTGCTGTGTCAGCCTCAGTTCCCTTTACTGCAAGTATCGGATTGTGTTGAGACATCTCAAATGCCCTGGATACAGCAGATACTATAAAAAGACAAGGCAATGTCTCAAAGTCCGAGGCATCTGTGGGCTTTCTGCCCACAGGGGTCACACAGAAATGTGTTTGTGACCTTGCTTTTGGCAACCTGTTCTGATACTGAAGAGGTTTTCTTCTATGAAAACATTTTTACAGTGCTTAGAGCCATGCATGAAATCATCTTTACCCAATTTGGAGGAGCAGCCTGATCAATTACAAAGGTAATCCTTCACTGACAGATACTGAGAAGGTTCAATAACTTGTTCTGCTGTGCTTGCAGCAGCATATATTGTTTATTCTGGGCCAGGATTTTGTGGCCAGCCAATATCAGGGTTCTTGATTTAATCAAATCAGTGTGTAAACCTGCCTTAAGCTGTAACTGATCAAAAATTCTTTGCTGTTTACAGATGCCTCATTCTGCTCTTCGTGAGCAATATTAACAGCTCTCTCCTTGATGTTCAAATTCAGCTCTAACTGAATTACGAAAGCAAAACATCACGTACAAATGAAAATGGCTCCTTACAGAAAATTTATAAGTGCTCTGCCACATACTTTGAAGCTTCTCTGGTAAACATATAAAAAGCATTTATCCCAGAATTTTCAATAAACCACAACTAAACAGATGACAGAAACACTTCCCTGTGCTGCACCTGGAGCTAGAAGAGGGGGAGCAAGTGGCATGTCCATATTCCAGCATGGTCTCACTTACACACCTCGCTGGTGTGGGGCCGGAGCACGTGGCCATTCATGAAGGAGCAGGGGCTCAGGCCTCTGTACTGGGTTCCTCTGGGTGCTAGGGAAGAAGAAACCTGTCTGGGTGCATCCCTGGCATGGTTGGGTCAGTACATTCTGCTGGTTTATGACAGACGGTGTCATCAGCAAGTACAGAATCAGGCACAGCGATGCCAAATCCCTTATCCAGTTTTGTGAGGCAGGCCTGTACACGTGGGAAGGGCTCCGTCTAACCGTGGTATTTACATATATAGAACAGACGATGCGATTTTGGCTGTCTGATCTAATTCCTTGCCAAGTTTCCAGTAGTTTAATCATCTTCTAATTTAGAATAATTAAGTCAGTTTTTTTTTTTGTTTTTTTTTTTTTTTTTTTTTTTTTAACTGCTTTTTCATCTCTAGGGCTATAAACACCATCACCACATACATAAGTAAAATCATTTTTATAAGAACTTGTAATTTTAAATGGTCAGATGTACAAAATGCTCTGTAAACAGAAAGACAGCAGAGGTCAGCAAAGCAGGTTACTCACTGGTGACTCTGAGCTATATCCCAGCAGTTGTGCCATAAAATGATATGGAAACCATGGGTCTAAACATGTGAGTTTTTATAAAGTTGGAATGCAAAGTTTAAATCCAGACCTGTATCTAGACTTCACAATTTTTGAATCCATGCTACGTGTTCCATCAGATTCCTGGCTGAGAAAGCTCCTTGACCTAGAAGTGTATAAAATCTAGACCTAATTTTCTAGTGTGATTTGATCTCTCATTACCTTAAACCAATATACAAATTAGACACAGGCAATATGAAGTGGAAGTGTGAGTTAAATGGAAATGTAGGGACATATGTTTTTTATTTAGCTTGGTTTGTTAAAAAAATAGCAGTTTCTTGACTTATGCTCTATTCAAAAAAAAATATATATATAATAATAATAATAATAAGTACATTATGGAAATTTTCAATCCAGGTCTTATTCTGCACTTCTTGTACAAATTTCTTGTTAGTAAAAATAATAAATAGAATGCAAGAATTCAACTCTCCAGTTTTCTAAAGTGAACTGCTTTCAAACGCCTTCAAGTCTAAACAATCACAACAAAAGTCTTTCTGATGAATGGACATGTGCAGAAGTGCAAGCTTCAGGCTTTCATTTCAGAGTAAAAGAACTCTCTGGCTTCAGCTGGTGAGTGCTGGGTTTTGTTCATCAGATTTTTTTAATAGTCTTAAAATTGTATTCAATTTCATTTGAATATGTTTTTAATTTGGCCAACCGGCAGATGGCTATTGTAAAGAGTCTGTATTTAACTTGGCACTTTCCCTTCCACATTCCTCTACTATTCATAGCACAGCAGTCAAACTTATCTCCAGTGTGCATGAAAGGAGGCACTTTCATTTGCAGCTGCAGATCTCAAATTTTTGAGCACTTGAAAATTCATGTAGAGCATGTTTTTGTTAAAATGTTGAGAAGACCAATTATCAGGTATAGTGGGAGATGTTATTTTCATCTCTACTACTCTTTTTTAAATCTGAGAAACTGAGAGAGAAATTAGACCTGTGTCTATAGTAAGGAACCCCCACACTAAAATTGGATCCAGAAAGAGTGGTAGAAAAAAAAAAGCATAAAAAAGTTTGGTCTTGAAGATGCAGTTGAAGGATATCAGCCTAAACTGTCAAGCAACATGAAGAATTAAATATTCAGCTTATTGATCTACAAGACAGTGAATAATAATAAAGGCATCCATGCTAGAGTAATGCCTTTTTATTAGCAGGGCTTCACAAAGAACTTGATCCTTTTGAGTATTTGTAAGCAATATATTTCTTCTTTGGTTGCAAATAGATAGCAGAATGTGTTAAACAACGACAAATTTCTAAATCTCTTACAGTGTTTCATATCTGTCTTTGACAGAAAGTTTCATTTCTACTTATTGTGTTTTCAAACAAATATAGCCAGTGAATATTCTAGTTTTGTATAGTTTCAAACATGTGACACACCTCTAAGAAGTGCTTTTTCAAGGATATTTTGTATATAAATTCGAATTGTGATTTTTTTTTCTTGATAGTATCCTTCAGTTTGTGTGCTTCTCCAGAGCCTAGGAAGGAGAAATTAACCTAAAAAACTAGAAAACAACATTTTCAGTTTGTAAATTAAATTAAAAAAAAAAACAACAAAAACAAACAAAAAAACCCCAACAACCTCTTAACCTGTCTACTGCTTCTTTAATGATTATGAATATATATTACAAATGCTTATTGCAAGAAATACAACTCCTTCACTGAACTCTTAAATGTGTTTTATTTTCAATAATATCAAATAGATTTTTTTCTCTTGCTGTGATTAGTCTAAATTTTCTACTGTTCAAAACGCCTAGCCTTCCAGCATACATGTAGCCTGAGACAAGTAGTCTTACATTTCACATCAAGCAATAAATTCAGCATACTGAAAAATATATATTACAGGAAAGTAAAATCTCTGTATAAATACAGCCACATGCCTTCTACACTCTACCGCATTACTTGAATGATATCATCTTGTTATATTAAGAATAATTTATCTCACCAATAAACTATGGACAAGGTTCTAATTCATCCCCACCGAGTTCTTCATTTCAACAACCAAAATGCCATCATGGCAGAAGAGCGCAGACAAATCCTTGTTCTCCACTCCGTCAGGCAATTTGTACTGTCTGGTAAAGCTTCGCGATATAAAACCATGTTCATCCATCCTGGGCCCATGCTGAGCTTTGATCAGAAGCCAGCCTTCAAAAGTCTGAATGATGATATCTTCAGGGCGGAACTGCACAACATCCAGCAAGACCTGAAAGCCTGTGTTTCCCTGCTCCTGGCCGCTGGCCTCGGCCCCGGCTGTACCTTCCACGTTTCGCCTCCTGTTGCTCAGTGCTGCTGTAGAAGGGCCTGGCAAAGCATACAGAGAGTGATCCAGCTTGTGTGCTTCCAGGTCCTGGGCAGCAAACTGCTCTTGATAGCGTACAGGAGTTTCCACCCAGTGTCTTATAACAGCTTCTGCCATTGCTGAGGCAGAAAGATAAGTTGCTGTGTTCGTGTTGCCTGGGGGAAGCTACGGAGTCAGACCGAGCTCTTGCCAGGCGTGTGCGTTACCCTCAGGCTCGTTGATCACTTGATGTAGCCTCACTTTTAGCAGGGAGAGCTTAACGCTTAATCGGACATGCCATGCTTGGTGAGGCTCGTTTCATCTCCTATCTGCTAACAATAGAGCCCTATTTATAGTGCTAGGGTCTTCAGTGGCTGTAACAGTTTTCACATGTGCAGCTTCTGTGCGTAAGTAGTAAAAGCAAGAATGTAATGCACTGCTATTTGTTGCAATATTGTGCTGTTTGTTCTTGTGAATAACATGCAGACATATGATGTGAAAGACTATTTTTTTTTTTTAAATGGATGTTTAATGATTCAAATTTTCCAAGGGATACATTGCAACAGACACAAACTGTATTTCTTCTAACTGAAATACATAGTTATTGTACTGTACAAAGGGAAGAAGTTTAAGTAGCTTGGCAGTAGGAACAGATTAAATTTTAGGTTAGGTAAATTATAAAATCAAATGCATTATATGTTGTTGCTCAGGTTGTTCATAGGTGAAGTACAGGCTTTGTGAACTACCTTACCAGAGGCAGGAGGGAAACATAATCATCCCTGCCTAGAAAGGGGGTGGCTAATGGCTGACCCTGCAGTCTTAGTGACCTACAAACACAGCAGTCTTCTGCAGTGTATCAGGGAGTTGGACTCAAGAGCACAGGGGAAATTAAAGGGAAAGTTCACGTTTCACAGCTTCCAGCAGAGCACAGAGTTATTTTTCCCTAAAATAGTAAAGAAAACTCCAAATCCTTAATGGTATCCCACTGTCCCAGAAGCCTTCATCTTCTGGGGTTTAACAGCTTGAACCTATGATCCCATCTACCATGTTTGTGGAGCAGGAATGAAGACCTCAAAGACTTTCCATGGTGTAATCTCACTACTGTATGATCTAAGGGCAAATAATGCTTAGAAGTGTTAACAGTTTGATTAACAAGACCAGAGATGAAAGTGCAGTGAAAAGGGAAAAGTATTTCCTGTTTGCTAGAAAATTGTTTTCCTATGTTGCACTGATGCTTGAAATAATCAGACAAGATACCTTAATTCCTTTTTGTTTGGCTTTTGTTCTTCTGAGCTCTCTCTCTTGCCCTTAACGTCTTTCATTATCCTGAAAATGGCAAGTCGGTTCATATGGCATCTTTGGTTGTTAATGGACTGTAGACTCAGACAGAATGAGGTAGCTGAATTTCAACAGTAATCAGAAATGAACTTCTGTATTAAATTGATAACAGAGCAGGATTGCTGGACATATCTATAATTAAGGTTCTAAGGTTGCAATTTTATTTTAGACTCATGAAGGCTACATTGCAAGGTAAGGAGATTTTCAAAGATAGATCAAAGGTTCAAGATAACTTAGATTAATGGCCTCTTGTTTAATTGAGTATTGTGGGGCAGGAGAATTATGCTACTTTATTTAACTATTGGCTCTTCTCTTGTCAAACTGTCCTCCAGAAATCATTTTAAAATGCAATTCCAAATGTACGGTTTGCTAGAATAGGGATAAAAATAACCTGGGACGATGCCCGTTATCTGCTCAGCAGCTGTTTTCTGTTTCACAAGCCAGTGATTCACTTGATGAGGAAAACTTAACCCTGAAGTGCAGCAGTATGCATGGCTGGTTGTGATATGTTTTTAGAAACTGCTGAAAGTTATTGCTCTCCCTACTGAATTCTTTGATGATAGACTCAATTCATTTTACTTCAGTTTCACACTTCATTAATAAATGCACTATGCAGGAATACCACATTTTCTCTCTTCTCTAATTATTCCCATCTTCTCCAGGGGGAGGAAAAAATGAAAAAAAAAAAAAGAAAAAAAAAAAAGAGAGAGAGAGAGAGAAAAAAAAGGTAAACTTGTGTATACTTACCCTTTACATGCAAACAGAAACAACCCCAGTATAGCTCACTGTTCCAGGAAGAGTTGTGTTAGTATTTCAAATATCTGTGTTAAACACACTTGGAATTAAGTATGGTCTAATTAGCATGAAAGATGCTCTGATAGCCCTTTAAATTCATATATTATGCAGAGCTCTTCAAATGTTTATAGGATCTCTTTCTACACCACAAGACTGGAGAAGATTCTGGTAATGCAGCCACATAGTCTCACCTCTTTCTGCTCTCTCATCCTGGTCTCTCCTAGGTCCCAGTCCTTTTTTCTCTCTCTTTTCCACCCAAAGACTCAGGCATTAGCTCCATCTCTTAGTTGCTAACAGGGAGAATACATCAACCAGAAAACAAAAAAATCCTCTCCAAGCACGAACATCCCATCAATTTGGAACGTACTTCCAGGCTTTCAATCTAAATATGCACACAGTGCTGCAACACTGGGGGACTTTTGATGTTTAGGCCACAGTCTGCAAATGCACATCACACACCAGCACTGCGTTTTTGTAACAGGTGACTGCTGAGGTGATTTTGGAGAAGGACTTTTTACAGGACAAGAGGAAATGGCTTTAAACTAAAAGAGGGTAGATTTAGGTTAAATATAAGGAAGTAATTTTTTACTGCGAGAGTGGTGAGGCCCTGGCACAGGTTACCCAGAGAAGCTGTGGCTGCCCCATCCCTAGAGGTGCTCAAGGCCAGGCTCGATGGGGCTTTGGGCAACCTGGGCTGGTGGGAGGTGTCCCTGCCCATGGCAGGGGGGTGAACTGGGTGGTCTTTAAGGCCCATTCCAACCGAAACCTTTCTGTGATTCTAGGATTTTATGATTTTAAATCTTCAGCCTAAAAAGGACGTTCCTACCCTCTGGTGTGTGAGGCTGGGTACTGCACACTCGACCTGTCAATGCCTTCAGCTCCCCAATGAGGGATCTCATCCTGTTTCCCTGACAGGGCACCGAGAGGCCTCCCCAGGCTGGCGGTGCTCCCCCAGGCAGCAGGCACCACACCTGGGGACAGGGACAGGCCACAACATGGGCCCGTGGGTGGGTCTGTGCCTGCAGGGCTCATGGAAGGGCAAGGACGTGCTGTGGGGGGTTAAAGTGTCACTGGGGCTGGGGAGATGGCCATGAAATGGGGCTGCAGGGAGGATACAGCACACTTCTGGAAACAGCTGGTGCACAAAAGTGAGGGGAAAAACAAACAAAACCGAAAGCAAACAAACAAACAAAACTGAAATCACCAAGCTGTTGCATGGATTGAGCAGTTATGATGGGAATAGGATGGATGTCCTTAATTGCCATCTCAGTAACTCAAATCTTTCTGGTTTTCTTTTCCAGGTGTGGCAGGCAGCACAGAATTGCATCCAAACAACTTGCCCCATGTCACACACCGTGCTGAGCACAAAGGCTGCATCATGCCTGATTTACAGCACACACAGGAAACGACCAAATAATTTGGAAGTATTGCAGAGTTGCTCTGTGCAAAATTGGTTTGAAGTGAGGAGACTAGTTATAGTTGCCTGGTGAGTGCCAACCCTTGCTTTCTTTTGCTGATATGGTTTCAGTATTTTTTTTTTTTGCTTTGTTTTGTTTTTAAAGAAAAAAACAGATCATTGGCAACAGCTAAGTATGAGAAAAAGAGTACGAGCATAAATGTGTTACACTGACATCTTGTGGTGAGGCAGGAAAATAGCAGCTAAGAGAAAATTAATTTCATGCACTACTACTGGGTGTACGGTGTATACAGATACCATAACCAGTATGTGAAATACTTGTATGGAGAGACAAAGGGGAAAAACACACACACATACACACACACAAACAATTCTTTAACTTACAACGGGCTATTTATAAGCTAATATAATCATCTTTCACAGTAATTTGGAGGGGAGAATAAATTCTCGATTCATGTTGAACTCCTGGAAAATACATAAAGCAGCCATCCTGTTAAAGTTGTATTGTAAACAGCAAATATGTAATGTGCTTGAACTCACTAGAACAACAATTTTTTGATGCATATCTGAACGAAATACAGGCATTGTGCTTGACACAACTTTAAAACAATAGATTGCTTTGTTGCAATTCTCTGAATGCCTGATTTCCCAAAGAGATATATTTCAACTACCATTGAATTTCAGTGACTGCTGGAAGGGGAAAAAGGTGAAAATCCTTGCAGGATGAAGTCAACAAAAATGCTTCCAGCAAAAGCTGACAGGCTAAATTCAAATGAAAACCATGTAATTATCCAAATGAGTTTAGGCAGAGTATTGCAATTTATTTTACCAAAAGTATCTAAGGATGCCACTCATGATCTACTTCACATGTCATAAAGGATGCTGTCAACTCAAACTTGGCATTGCTTAAGAAATGTAAGGAAGAATAGGACTGCACAGGTTTTGGTATTGCTGGCTCTGTTATACTCAATAAAGGAGTTTAAGCTTTGTGGCAATACTGACAAGGTACATAGCAAAATAAAATGTATGTGAGAAAGGCACTTGGAGTGACATATATGGAAACTGGATGATAAACACCAGTTTTCTACATGGTAATTAATATATATATATATTTTAGATTGAGAAAATTTCTGTCTGCTATTTGTGTCACTTTTAGTCCATTACTTCTCAGAGCTGTGAGTTGTCCTTTTCACCAGGTTGTTGGATCTGGATGTATGTTTGAAACACTCAAAAACAACTATTGCAATTGTCTAGTCATCAGGCGTTAGGTGTTTTGTTTTCAATAAATACTGAGGAATTATTTTCAATAATGTTTCATTCAAATCATGTAATATTTGCTTTGGGCAGTGAATTACAAACTAATTCTTCCTGCAGCATACTCTGTTATAACACCACATGCAGATTATCAGGGCTATGTTTTTACACAGCCAGCTTAACTGAAAGAAGTCTGTGGGTCACGTCCTTCAAAACCTGGAAAAGGCTGGGTCTGCCCAACCTCTTGGAAAATCTCTTCAGGGCATTGATGTCACTTGTAACTGTAAACTTCATCTCCTGATTTTAGAGGGAGGCCTGTTAAGAAATGGAAAGCTAATCTCAGTTTTTGCACTAAGAATCAAGTTTTTGCTTGTTTGTTAGGAAACTATGTAAGAAGAGTAAATAATATGGAAAGGGCTATCATTTTGACACATTGCATCCACTATCGTAGGACTTCTGTTCGATGTGTTGATATAAAAGAGGGGTAGATGAAGAATGAGGATGAGGAACAGTAGGA